CACCAACAACAACAACCAAAAAGAAAAAAAAAGACCTTGTTAAGTAACAATGCAGTCTGCTGGTTTAATGGATGTGTTTGTTCATGGAGTGTGGACCACTTCTAATCAAATGTAATAAAAGAACTTTAAAAACATCATAATTTGTATTCATTATTTTTGTTCTTTTTTGTTTGGATTTTTTTTTTGGAGACAATGAAGCCAAAAAGATTAGCAACTAGTGATATGTAATCTTCAAGAAAAGCAAGTATCATGATGCTGTTTTTCTTTTATGATGTAGTTGTTCTTGTGGCATTTTGTGGTGCATCATATTGGGGTGTGGTGAATTCTAGAGAGGATAAAGCCCCTATGAAGGTTGATTTTCTTGCTGCTTTGCTTCCCTTGGTCTGTATTCCTGCAGTATGCTCTTTGTTCATCGGTTTGTATAAGTGGTGAGTAGAATGATTGCCTTATTTCTTTGACTGCATTCAGGTTTAGACTGCCCTTCAAATTGACCATGCTAATCATTTCAGGAAAGATGATGACTGGAAACTTTCACGTGGTGTCTATGTATTTTCCCTCATTGGATTTTTTCTCTTGCTTGGTGCCATATCCGCGATTGTAACTATTATCAAGCCATGGACGGTTAGTGCGGAATTAATGCTGCCATGGTGTCATGACACAGTTATTATGTTTCAGCAACTGACTGTTCTTTTAGTGACCAATTGTTATTTTACAGGTTGGGGTTGCATTCCTTCTGGTTATCCTTTTAGTTGTTCTTGCTATCGGCGTCATTCACTATTGGGCTTCAAACAATTTCTACTTGACCAGAACCCAAATGTTCTTTGTTTCCTTTCTAGTTTTCCTTCTTGCCCTGGCTGCATTTTTGGTGGGATTTTTTGGAGGTGATAACAAATTCCATTTTCTGATTTTTCTTGTCTTAATTGCAAAACCTTTGTTTGTAAACATGAAATTTTAAGTTATTCTCTTCATTGAGATAAGGATGCTATGCCTTCTATTGCAGATAAACCCTTTATTGGAGCATCTGTTGGTTATTTCTCATTCCTGTTTCTTCTTGGAGGGAGATCATTGACTGTAAGTTATTCTAGAAGTTCCTATTTTCCTAAGTTATCCTATTTCTTTTATATTGAAAACTGTCTTCTCTCAGGTTCTTCTTTCACCTCCCATTGTGGTCTATTCTCCTAGAGTATTGCCAGTTTATGTTTATGATGCTCATGCTGATTGTGCCAAAAATGTCAGGTTTGTCCAAGTTTTTATCTCTTTCTGGTTGCTTCATGTAACATTTTCAACTTTGATATCTCCCTTGAATTTTTGTCAGCATTTTACTTGAATGTAGTTCATCTTTGCACATGTTAATAATAACTTACTGACACCTGATGTTTATTGATGCATCACCAGTCATGCCTTTCTCATGCTGTATGGGATTGCTTTGGCAACTGAGGGATGGGGTGTTATTGCTAGTTTAAGAATATACCCTCCATTTGCTGGTGCTGCAGTATCTGCTATTACACTTGTTGTGGCCTTCGGTTTTGCTGTATCTCGTCCATGCCTGACACTGAAGGTTGGTGCATGCTTGAACCTTTCGTCTTAGTATAAGAATTTTGTGCTCATGATTTTAGTTTTAAATAATTGTGTTCAATATTCGAGATTCGACGAACAGGTTTTATTGTTGTTATAGGTTGTTGTATTCAACATTCTTATACTTGTTAATCATATATCTTCTTTATATGCATATTGTTGACAGATGATGGATGATGCTGTGCATTTTCTCAGTAAGGAAACTGTTGTCCAGGCAATCACTCGCTCTGCTTCTAAGGTGAGTTTGCGGTTGGAAAGGGTTGTCCTGTTTCTGATTCCTTCAAATGGGAATCAGGAACACAATTTGCTTTCTGTTGTGATCTTTATTCTGCCTACCCACACTTTCATACATGAGAGCCTATGGTTGGGGATCTACTAGAATTTATATCCTAGATTGGGTGATTATTTTGTCTACCTTTTCTTGCTTGCATGTCTGAATTAATGAGTGCACATATGGGTTCCCTTTGCATATCAGCTCCATTTTCCTTTCCCCATAAGCCGCAAAAGCTTATTTCTTGAATGGAATAATGGCCAAGTTGATAAAGTTTTTAGTATACCATTACTTGTTGACATAGTGATACAGTATTATTCAAAGGGAAAGTGTCTGTGTGTGGATTGTGCATGGATGGTGTGATAATTTTTGACTATATCTCAAGCAGCAGTGTGATGATCAGTGAGCCTGGTAAAATTCTCAGCATCCTTCTTTTTCTGAAAGGTGCTGCTGCTTGTGTGGCTACTTCTTGTTTATAAGCGGAAAATTTGAACTTTGTTCTTCAACTGTCGTTATCTTTTAGTTGATATGTTTACTATTTGTTGTCGGTTCAGACTAGAAATGCCTTATCTGGGACTTACTCAGCTCCGCAAAGATCTGCTAGCTCAGCTTCTCTTTTAATTGGGGACCCTACTATTGCCCGTGATAGGGCTGGAAACTTTGTCCTTCCACGAGCTGATGTGATGAAACTTAGAGATCGTCTAAGAAATGAAGAAGTTAGCGCTGGTTCTTTCTTTTGTGGAATGAAATGTTATTGCCATGAGTCTCCTGCTGATGTGGATTACAGAAGAAAAATGTGTTCTCATGCGCGCATTTTGGCTTTAGAAGAGGCAATCGACACTGAATGGGTATATATGTGGGACAAGTTTGGTGGCTATTTGCTTCTTTTGCTTGGTTTGACTGCTAAAGCTGAAAGGATACAGGTGAGGCTGGAAGCTGGCTGTGGATAAAAAAGAATTAAAATTTATAACAATCTCTTGTTTATTTTATGTCCCTACTCACGGTCTGTTTGGGGAACTGTGGCAGGATGAAGTCCGTCTTAGACTTTTCCTAGATAGTATTGGCTTCTCTGATTTAAGTGCCAAAGAGATCAAGAAGTGGATGCCTGAAGATCGCAGGCAATTTGAGATGATTCAGGAAAGGTAGTCTCTATCCTATTTAAACATTTAATTTGATATTTTTTGATCTGGTTGCTTACGTTCTGAAGTCCTCATGCCATTTTTGTAGTTACATAAGGGAGAAAGAGATGGAAGAGGAAATATTGATGCAGAGACGGGAAGAGGAGGGGAAAGGCAAAGAAAGAAGGAAAGCTCTACTGGAGAAGGAGGAGCGCAAATGGAAGGAGATAGAAAACTCCCTCTTATCCTCTATACCAAATGCTGGAAGTAGGGATGCAGCAGCAATGGCAGCTGCAGTGCGTGCTGTTGGTGGTGATTCTGTTTTGGATGACTCTTTCGCTCGGGAACGAGTTTCAAGTATTGCTTACCGTATTCGTGCAGCTCAGTTGTCAAGAAGAGCAGAGCAGGTTTGGTGTTTATTAACTTTTTCCATCTTAAGAGCTGTCCTTAGGGTAAGATAAATTGGACTGTGATTTTATGACGCAACATACCTACTTATTAAAGAGCTTAAGCTTGTAGGCTGTTTGCTGATAGTTTATTCAATGCCTTTCCTCATGTAGCCTTTTGGTCCCGCAGAGCAAAGACCTCAAGAAAAGTCCGAATAAGAGCATGTTTGGCAAGTGGTTAAAAGTGGCTTATAGGCCACTTTGATATGTTTTGCAAATGGATTTTTTTGGCTTATAAGCCACCAAAAAACAAGCTACAGTATCCTAGCTTACTTTTGGTAGCTTATAAGCAACAAGGCTTGACCAAGTAAAAGACTCATACCCTTCTCCATTTCACAAAATTCCAAGTAAAAGACTAACCTATCCTTCTCCATTTCACAAAATTCCAAGCCCCATTTTATCTCTTTCTAACCCCGTTAAATATTTTTTGGTCATTTTGACAATAATGGTGGCTTGTAAGCCATTCTCTTGCCAAACACTCTGCTATTATTATCATTACTATATTATATTATTAAAGAATAAATTATATTATTGAAAATGGATTATAATCCATTAAATTTAAAAACACTTTGGCTTACAATCCACTTCGCTTATTATTCATATGTGGATTATAAGCCAAGTGGATTATAATCCAAAGTTGCCAAACATGCCCCAAGTATTTATTCAATTTTTTTATTGAATTTTTTTAGAGCAAAAACTAATGGGATTTAACCTAGGACCTCTTAAGTTCTCTGATCTATATCATGCTAGATGACCATATGAGCCAATAGTTGAAGACATGAAGCTTGTGCATTTGGGTTCAGATTTAATAATAAACACCAAGCAAATTTGACACGTGACAATTAACTTAGTTCCTGAGGCCAGAATCATTTATTTATTTCATAGACTTTTATGTTCCTCACTTCAGATATCCAGAAGGGCAATACTGATGTGAAAAAGCCAGTAATGCTTTTTTCAGTGGAACTGGTCATCTAGTTCACTTTTAATGTTTCCTCATCAGGCTCATCTAGCTATAGAACTATTTATTTTTCCTTAGTTAAAGGTTAAAAAGGTTTGGGCTATGATATCTTATGTTTCATGTCCTCAGTAACATAAATTGTGTAAAAAGTTGATAAAATAGAATAAGATGTAATCATAATCATTTGATTCTTTATTTATTATATATAATAAAGAGAATCCTTTTGTCATAATTAAAGGTGGATCTCTTTTAAAATTCTTTTGAAGCTCTGTTGCTTGCTTAGATGTTAGCATGGGTTGTATTCCAAGGAAAACGAGTGATCCCTAACAATTATAATTTAAATGAAAGTGAGTTTGTGATACTAATCTTCTGGCTTAATTGCACTTCACTTTGAAGTAATAATTGGCAAATATCCTAGGACACTTTCTTTGGAGAACAGTCTTTCTAATGGACATCGATCCTACAAGATGTGCACTGAGTTTCATGGAACATTATGCGACCATAGACACTTTACGATTAATTGTGTGCATAGTTACACAGTACGTGGAACATAAGGGGTCATGGTACGAATTCGAGTACGCAATTCGTCACTTAGAAAGTTGGATTCTCTCTCTCTTTTTTTGTGTGTGTGTGTGTGTGGGGGGGGGGGGGGGGTGTTGAGTAGGTTCGATCAGTGGTACGCTATATAATTTTTTTGGGTGTGCTTTGAGTTCTTTCTTTTGTTATGTTTCTCTTTTCACGTAGTTAGTCTTGGAATCATGGTTTCATTTCACATTTTATTAAAATACGCATTAAATTATAGTAAAGTCAGCGACTCATATATTCTATTGCGCGCCTCCCTTACTCAATTGCACACATTGCTTTGTGTCTTGCGCATGTACGCTTAGAGGGGCTTTGTGCTCAACGTACTTATATGCTGTATCCCAATTTTGGGGAACCAATTTGTGTATCTGATGCAACTATGATTGTGTGGCATTCTGTAGTTCTATAGCGGCCTAGTCTGCTGTTTTCATCTTGCTGTGGACATTTGCAGCGGAACTGTTATTATTAATTAGAATCTGTATTTGTTTAAGTATTTATCTACGGAGCGGTTAAACTATGTAACTATCATTAATATATCATCATATTTTCCTAAACTACTTTGCAGACTGGATTGTCAGGTACTGTGTGTGTTCTTGATGATGAGCCAAGAACCATAGGCAGACATTGTGGGCAGATTGACCCAAGCCTTTGTGATAGTCAGAAGGTCAGTTTCTCCGTTGCAGTCATGATCCAACCAGAGTCTGGACCAGTGTGCCTTCTAGGAACTGAGTTCCAGAAGAAGACATGCTGGGAGATCCTCGTTGCTGGTTCAGAACAAGGCATTGAGGCTGGACAAGTTGGTCTGAGATTGGTTACAAAAGGTGATAGGATGACTACCGTTTCTAAGGAGTGGAATGTAGGTTCTGCCAGCATTGCAGACGGAAGGTGCGTCTTGTCATTAAATGTTTTTTGTCACTTCTTAATTCATGTCTTTTTCTTATTCATAACCATAAGCTTTGGAAATTTGATATTCTGATTTGTTTCGCCCTTTTCTTTCTTTGGTATATTTTAATACATATTCTTTAAAACATTTTGCAGGTGGCATATTGTTACTGTGACAGTGGACGCGGATGCAGGAGAGGCGATATCCTATCTGGATGGAGGCTTTGATGGATATCAGAGTGGTCTACCTCTGCAAGGGGGTGGTGGCATTTGGGAGCAGGGAACTGATGTTTGGATTGGTATTAAACCACCAACCGATCTGGATGCATTTGGAAGGTCGGATAGTGAAGGTGCTGACTCCAAGATGCAAATGATGGATGCTTTTCTTTGGGGAAGGTGCCTGACTGAAGATGAGATAGTTGCGCTTCATGCTACTATGAGTTTAGCTGAATGTGACTTGATTGATCTGCCGGAAGATTGCTGGCATTTGGGTGATTCACCTCCGAGGGTATGCTTATCTGGATACACATTTCTATACTTCATTAATGTTTAAACCTTGTAAGAGAGGGGGTTCATGTTTGACTTAAGTGTCTTGCATTCTTTAAAAGGTTTAGTGGACCATAAGGAGCACAATCTCTGACCTAGTTGAAGATTGTGGTCTAAAATTGAATTTGTGGGCTTGAAAGCTCGAGATAACTACAAATTTTTATTGTTTAAATAGAGAAGGTATGGGTTTCCTGGTTACTTCAACTACAGGCCGGCATAATAATATGTGGAGGGTGATCTTGATCACTAGGAGCTCAGATCTTGTATATCTAAATTATTTGCTGCTTCAACTCCATAAATTTCATTGTCATTCCTTTTTGATTTCCAGTTTCTTATCTTATTTTTTGTCCTTTTCCTATCCAAGGCTCTTGAAAGTTTTGTCCCTATTTGTTTTTTCTTTCCATACACTTCAAAAATTAACTATAGACTCTACAGTTCATCACCAAAATTTTATTAGCACATCATTCAACCTTTTTATGTATCATTAGCTATATCATTCTTGGGGAAAAAAAACAAAGCTTTCAGCTTCTCGTATACTTTCTGTATGAATTCACATCCACATGCTTTCCCTTCTGGTAAGCTTCATGAGGGTAAGGATCATTCCCCATCAGAATGGGGTCAACTGTGGGGCACCACTGAGCTTGAAAATAATGCTCTTAGTTTCTTTCTTTTTTCTCTCTTTTCTTCTCTCTTTTTACTTTATTACATTACGTTGCAACAGATAAGAAGAATATGTGATTTATATTTGTGTTTGAATTGTCCGTTTTGAGTATGTGTTGATGACTAAATCTAATTCTAGGCTAATGATTGGGAGAGTGAAGAAGCAGATGTTGAGTTGTATGACAGGGAAGATGTTGATTGGGATGGGCAATATTCAAGTGGAAGGAAAAGAAGGCCAGATCATGAGGGGGTCACAATTGACATGGATTATTATATTAGAAAGCTAAGAAAGCCTAGGTTTGAAACTCAAGAAGAAATTAACCAGCGCATGCTATCTGTTGAGATGGCAGTCAAAGAATCTCTCTCTGCAAGAGGCGATAAACATTTTACTGATCAAGAATTTCCACCGAACAACCGTTCGTTATATATTGATCCAGGAAATCCTCCTCCAAAACTGCAGGCAAGTTTCACAGAGGAGCATTATGACGTTGATACAAATTTCGGCCTGTTAATGTTTGAATTGTATCTCAGGTTGTTTCTGAGTGGATGAGACCTGCTGATATTGCGAAAGAAAGCTCAATCAGTTCCTGTCCTTGCTTGTTTTCTGCTTCTGTAAACTCGTCTGATGTTTGTCAGGTGGGGTCATCTTCTTTTGATGTAGAACCTTAAATAATTTCTGTTGATAGAGTATGATCTTTGAATGGTTAAAACTAATTTCCCTATGATTTTCTGATGAGCTTTGAAATACTTGACATCTGCAGGGTCGTCTGGGTGACTGTTGGTTTCTGAGTGCTGTTGCTGTTCTAACTGATGTTTCTCGAATATCAGAGGTCATTATCACTCCACAATACAATGAAGAGGGTATTTATACTGTTCGGTTCTGCATCCAGGTTAGCTCGGATTCCGAAATATTTGACGTGCATGTCTCATGTTTTGGTTGAATATGCTTTGGTCTCTTTTTCCCCTAAAATATGTAGATATACTTCACTCTGTAAGCGAGGAATGAGAAAAGGCTCCTCTACAGTCCTCCCCTTACCTCTTTTGAAACAAATATATTGGTCACTAGTTTAGTTTAGTGCACAATTTGGTTATGGAAATAAGGGTTGAAAATCTGCAATAATCATCACTGTAGCTCGTTTCCCTTTGAAAAAGGAATGAGTTTGATACATTTCTTGAGTAATATTGATATTGTAGCATATTGATGGAGTTTGTTGGGTCAGTTTCATCAGTGGTATGCGGCGCTGTTTAGAATTGTAGGTGAACAATTTAAAATTGTGGGCAGCGCAACATTTGCTTTTTTTGGCAGTGTTTGCTTTTCTTGTGTTTGGTGTGTATATTTGGTACCCAACTAGGAGCCACATTTTGTTCCTGCAGGGTGAATGGGTCCCTGTTGTTGTTGATGATTGGATACCTTGTGAGTCACCAGGGAAACCAGCATTTGCTACCAGCAAGAAGCGTAACGAACTCTGGGTTTCTGTTTTGGAAAAAGCTTATGCCAAATTGCATGGCTCTTATGAGGCCTTAGAAGGTGGTCTCGTCCAAGATGCCCTTGTAGATCTCACAGGGGGTGCTGGTGAAGAAATTGACATGAGAAGTGCTCAAGCTCAAATTGATCTAGCTAGTGGAAGGCTATGGTCACAGTTGTTGCATTTCAAAAGAGAGGGTTTTCTACTTGGTGCTGGAAGTCCATCAGGTTCAGATGTACATGTTTCATCTAGCGGAATTGTTCAAGGGCATGCATACTCATTATTGCAGGTACGATTTACCATTTTCTTTGTTTGATATGTCTGATATTCTGTGGGGAAGCATAGTCAGCTAACTTTAATCCCATCCACTTCTCATCATACATAGGTTAAAGAGGTCGATGGTCACAAACTTGTTCAGATTCGTAATCCATGGGCCAATGAAGTTGAATGGAATGGGCCATGGTCAGATTCATCTTCTGAATGGACTGATCGTATGAAACACAAGCTTAAGCATGTTCCACAGGTATGCTTATATATGCTTCTAAGATTGTAAAGGTTTTCTTTACTATGCTCCTGCCTCCTCTATGTTCCTAAACTTTTTTAATCTATTAACTTATTGGATATATAAAAAGGATAATCTGTTGCTTTCTATGTGTTGTACCCAACTGATTCGGGTCCATAAACTGTGAAGAAATTCTAACCTTTGCTGAAAAGATGTGCACCAACTGATTTCAGTTTATATCCATTAAATTGTGAAATGTTCTGGCCTTCGCTGGAAAGATGTGCACGGAGGTTTGAAATCTCGATATCGGTAATCAATATCAGCGCTATCGTATTAGTTTTGGAGGTATTGGGAGTTTCAGAGATTCAGTCGGAAGTATCAGTTATAGGCATAGGTGGTTCTAGTGATTTGATGATTCTCAAGTTTTCTGCAATTATCCATTTCTTGTCCCTGATATGATATTTAATAATTTTGGTACTTCAAACCTCAGTTCTCTTATTTGCACGATCGTTATTGGTAAACATGGTTGGTAGTAGCCAAAATCAACGGGATTAGTCGTTATGGTTACGGTATCTGTAAGATTAGTTCGGCATACTTGAAATTTTATTGATACAAACTAGATGTTTATGTACCAGCCAATACTTCAAATCTTTGCACGCACTTTATAACAGATAAGAGAGTTTACAACATTTTGTGATTGTGTTCTCTATCTTGATGCATGATAACTTTAACAGTCAATTCATGTTATAGCTTTTGACCATCACTTTGTACCGAAAGGTGGTTTTGTATTGGTCTAATTGGCTCTTTCAAGTTGCATGATACGTAGTCTTTTTTGTTTTCCATCAGTCGAAGGATGGGATCTTTTGGATGTCGTGGCAAGACTTTCAGATACACTTTCGGTCAATCTATGTTTGCCGTGTTTATCCACCAGAAATGAGGTACTCAATCCACGGCCAATGGCGTGGCTACAGTGCAGGGGGTTGCCAGGATTATGACTCTTGGCATCAGAATCCACAGTATAGATTGAGAGTGACAGGCCCAGATGCATCATCCCCCATTCATGTGTTCATTACTTTAACTCAGGTACTTGGTATAATGTATTTTTCATGTGCATTTAGGGCGTGTTTGGTTGCTTTCCGAAAAGTAAGGGAAATCAAATTCCTGATACAAAACCCATTTCAAAAATTGTTTTTCCAAGTATTTATTGGATAGGTGTTTTTGTTTTTTCTCACTGGAAACAGTGAAGGAAAAATGTTCCCATGTTATTCCATAGTTTGGCTGCTTATATAAAAATAGGAAAACTTGTGGATGTGGCAACAATTTCACCAACCACCCTTTCTTTTAATTGGTTCATCTTGGCTTCAAGCCTAATTCTGCAAGGAGGAGGAGGAAGAGAAGAAAAGGGGATGTGTGTGTGTGAATGGTGGGGGGGGGGGGGGGTGGCGGGGGGGGGGGGGGGGGGGGGGGGGGGGGGGGGGGGGGGAGGGGGGTGGCGGGGGGGCGGGGGGGGGGGGGGGGGGGGGGGGGGGGGGGGGGGGGGGGTCGGATTGGATTCCACATGAAATATGGGAGCCACATGCAGACTTAGGGAAAAAGTTTCCAAGACTTTTTCTAAAACGCCAAACACATTTTAAGAATGGTGTTTGCTCCAGAGTTTTTTCCGTGTGGACCTGGCAATCTGTTTCCATGTGGTTTCTGTGCAAGCCATAGTAACCAAACACGCCCTTACTATCAAAAAATTCTTCTTGTTGCTGATTGTTTCCTTTTTTCCTTTGTGTTCATTAGGGTGTGAGATTCTCGAGAAAAAACAATGGTTTCAAGAACTATCAGTCAAGTCATGATTGTTCAATGTTCTATATTGGCATGAGAATACTGAAGACAAGAGGGTGTCGTGCTGCTTATAATATTTACTTGCATGAATCAGTTGGAGGAACAGATTACGTTAACTCGAGAGAAATATCATGTGAGTTGGTACTGGAACCTTATCCTAAAGGATACACAATAGTACCCACCACAATTCAACCTGGAGAAGAAGCACCATTTGTTCTGTCAGTATTTACGAAAGCACCAATCATCCTGGAAGCTATATAATGAAATATCAACACATGGAAGAAGCTATCTTTTTTTGGCACCATATATTGGTTGAGGCTTCAATGAGGCCCAGACTTTGGTTGAGGCTTCAATGAGGTCCGGACTGCTCGGGGTTATGCAGACTTCTGCGAGCAAAAAGGTCTCTGAGCCAAATATTATAGAGCAAATGGATTTCGGTATGGTATGATTCTTCTTTATGCATTTTAATTATCTAATAGTAATAAGATCAAGGCCTCACAAGATGCACAGTATCCATGGTCATATTTTTCTTTCATGCCCAAAGATCAGGTGTACTTTGCCTCCAGAAGTATCTTGATCGAGATGCAAGCTGCCTTCCACTTTGACAACTTCTCTGAATGCATCTTGCATCTTATTTTTGGGCTTGTTAAATAAATCCATTAGAAATGCTTGCTCAAGAAAATTATGGAAGAGAGAGAATGCGGATATAATTAGATCTTGGCTTTTATTCTTTATCTTCATAATCACTAGCATTCTATAGATATGGATTTGATATTGCCATGTTGAGCCTTTTCTTTTAATTTCAACTGACATCATTTCCGTCATTTTAGTTGAAAATGCACGCCAGTTACATAATATTAAAATATTAATAGTATCACTGAGTCCTGATAAGCGTTATCTAATGCAAATTTCAGGGGCCTGTTTTGTGTGGTGACGATATGAAAGTCATCATTCGAGGGAAAGCAATGCAACAGCTCTGTGCTTGACAAAGTAATCGAAATATCTGAGCGATCACTCAGTTCAAGAGCATGAATGTTTGGTTTACATGGAAAATTTTCCCCGAGCTTCCAATCATGCCTCCTTCGCTTCAGCCGGGGTTATCGGCTGAACTTGTAAATACTGGTGGCATCAAGTGGTTAAAGAATCATTGCCATCCAAGTATAGGGGTACTAACTCACGTGTACAGGAACCCAAAAGGAAAGCATAGGCGTAGAGGTCAGAAATAACTAGAAATAGGTGGTGATCATCTTTGTACTGAAGGGATCCAATAAGGGTGTTGTAGCTGGATGTTTAGAGTTCCTGCTGCAGTTTTGTACACCCCATTTTCTTTTATTTGTGCAATGTAATTTTTATAGTGGATGTTTTGTTCCTTTTTTATAATAGTAATGTGTTAGATTCTTTACTAGCAAATTTTTTTGCACTTTGCATTAGATGGTAACAACGGTAGTAGGGATGTAGATATAACGAGAAGTTGATTCTGATCATTCATCTTGCTGCAGCCATTTTGCTGGCGGTTCTTGCCAATTAAATCGATGGTACCTATGGATTCAATACTTATGTTTTAATTTGCAAGAACCACCATCTTTTCTTCCAAATTAATATATAAAATAGTACCAATAGTTGATATTGTACACTTCTACATAGTTCAAAAAAAATATATATTCTACTATATTGCTCTAAAATGCCTGTTCAATTTTCCTCCGGCTTTTTTAGCCCCAAAGATTTTTCTTCTTGATTCCGTATGGAAGGTTCAGATGTCTATCTCTGAGCTTAACAATGAAACATGTAATATTTTCTCCATTCTACCAAACAATGTTGTTGTTTTTTAAGTACCTAATAATCTTTTGTACTCTTCTAAGTTTTCATCTTTCCGTTAAAATTGACTAGTTGTGAGAAAAAAATTAAGAATAATGTGACGTTAGTAGAGAAGAGTATCCACCATCCAGGCTTAGGAATGAGGATAGGCGACATATGATGATGTATTCGAATAAAGTCTAACCAATCGTGAACACCATGCAAAACAAGACATTATTTTTGCTACAATAATCCCGATTTTTAAATGTTACAGTAACGTTTTAAAAATTTTTGATACTACAGTTTCGCCGCTGCTATAGATTTTTAAAATGCTACACCCCCTTGTCACTGTAATATTTTTTAAAAATGCTATCATATTCAATTTCTTGTTTGCTACGGTAAATAAACTGTAGTAAGTGAATTTTGCGTTCTCCTGTCTGCATAGAAGAGCAGATATCCGGTCCAGATTCTGCTCATTAAGCCCTCAAAATTTCAATCGATTTTCCCGCCTTTTTTCACTAAAAAAAGAGGATAGGGGGAAATTCTTTTCCCTTCGTATCATTGCTAGGGCTTCTCAGGAGATAAATCGAGCTCGCCAACGCAAAAAGGTACGTCCTTTACAGCAAATTTCACCTCAGGTACGTTTTCCTACTCTAGGGTTTCCTTGGATCAAGTTTATTCGGAGCGGTTTGGTTTTGAAATGTTTGCTCCTCGATTTCCCTTTATTTGTATGTATTTATATAAAGATCTAGTGGATGATTATGGAAATTTTGAGATTTGGAGGCTGATTTTTCCAATAAAACATCGATTTCTCAATTAGTTGGCAAAATTACGTATCTTAAGTTAGCTTGTTAACGCATTACAAAGCTTGATATTTTATTTGATCAGCCGTTATGCAGCATAGTATAATTTACGAAAGTCCTGCTTATAGGTAAAAAAGAATAAGCAGGAATTTAGTATGTTGTTTATTCATCAAACCCACTATTTTTTTATTTTTACAATTGTGAAGTTTAGATCCGGATGTGCAAGTAGTGAAGCCCCTTGTACTGCATGTTATTCATTAAGGCCCATAACTTTTTTTAAAAAAAATGACAATTCTAAAGATTAGATCTTTATGTGTGAGGTTTTAGAATTAGCTTTTTCCAGTGGTGAAGTCCATAACACTAAACTTATGAGAGGAATGATTACTTAAATCATGGATTTTTCTTTAGTGAAATATTGACTATTGAGAATGCTAGGTTTTAGACATCGAATGTTAGTTAAATGTCTGACGAGTTTATAGCTTAAAGGGTATATTATATAAAGTGAGATATTTGATTTCTGTGAAAACTCAAGCTGGTACTGGAGTAAATGGCTCTGATAGGGATTTATATCTGAATTGTATCTATCCGAGTATTCAATCGATGACTTGTGTCTGAACTATTAAGTACTTCAGCTGATACGGGAATAAATGGCTCAAGCTGCGAGGCTGAACCTGAGGATGCAGAAGGAGCTCAAGCTCTTAATTACTGATCCACCTCCTGGAGTCTCTATTCCCATGCTCTCTGAAAGCGAAAACCCTTCGTCTTCCTCCTTGTCAAACATCGAGGCCAGTGAGTTCCCGGTTAAATATTTTCTTATTCTGTATATATTCCTGTATATCCATCATACACGCGTTTACATGGACCCCTGTCACTCTTGTTCTCAATTGCATCCATTGATTCCATTAAGTAACTGCTCACAGGAATTGAAGGACCAGAAGGAACTGTCTATGCCAAAGGAGTCTTCACCCTTAAGATTCAGATACCTGAAAGGTATTCTACTATTCTTGTTCCAACTACTTTGTTTCTCTAATTGTATATACTAAGATTCTAACCATCTCAATACTATTTGAAGATAGATACCCTTTTCAGCCGCCGAATGTGACTTTTATTACACCCATCTATCATCCCAACATCGATAATGGAGGTCGTATCTGTCTTGATATTCTCAACTTGCCACCAAAGGTACTCATGACTGTAACTATTATTGTTAGTAGAACACCATATTGGCTAATGACCGTAATATCTGATACTTAAAGGGAGCATGGCAACCATCACTAAACATATCCACAGTTTTAACGAGCATCGGTTTGTTGCTGAGTGAACCCAACCCAGATGATGGACTCATGGCTGAAACTGTGAGTGATTTCTACCAAACCACTTATTGTGAGTCATGAGGTAGGTGATGAACTATTAAGCTCATTTCTCCTGTTGTCGTATCCAGAGCAGGGAATATAAATATAACAGGCAAGCTTTTGACCAGAAAGCTCGTTCTTGGACTGAGAAATATGCTACTGCTGAGGACACTGGAAAGATCAACAACTGTAGCTTTTCAACTATAGATCCCATCATGGTATGTAATTGTCTTCTGTTTTGTCTTCCAATTTGCATTTATCCTTGGTCCAGAAGAGACCATGTACGACATTTGCATTGAAAAGCTAAAAGATTAGGAGAAATAAAAAAGTATAAAATAGGAAGTATCAGCAGAAAAGATGGTGGTGGATAATTATTAATTACTAACTGCAACATCTTCTGCATAGCAAGAGGAACTTTGATAGGAATGATAAAACTGAACTACCAATTATGATACTGCAATCTCCCATCATACAGGAGCTGTTGTTATAACATATAGTAATAACAATTGATTTGGTTCCAAGATGCCAGTTTTTAATAGCAAACACTAAATCGTTGCTTTCTCCAAATCCTCAAACCAGGACTAAATCCTTTCAGAGACTAGATGTATTATTTTTTCTGTTCATTTCCCTTTCTGATTAAACTTACAGGTCTGATGGTATCCTTGTAGGATCGAGGAACGGAGACCAAGAGAACAGAAGTTTCTTCAGGAAATTCTATCAATGAGACTGAGGGGAGTAGGAAGAAGCTTCGCCTAACTGGTGCAAAGCTGTCGTTAAAATCGAAGACACAATCTGAAGAGACTAGAAATGATAAGGAGAATGTGCCACCTAGCAGAAAGCTATCTATATCACTCTCTCAAAAGCCTCTTATTGCGGATTCATCTACTTTGATTTCTGAGAAGAGCAAAACCTACGGTGAACAACCATCTTCTATAAAGGAGAATGAAGATTCGACAAGGAACTGCAAGCATGTGGAGGAAAAGGCAAAGGGAACAGAATATATAATCGTTTCAGATAGTGAAGAAAGCGATGAAGGTGAGAGACCTTTCAGGTCAAGGTTGTCTCTCATGAGAAAGCCAACGGTGAAAAGTCTGCACAAACCGTGAAAGAAAAACTGTAGCTAAAGCGCAATCTCCTTATTGCATGAATTTACATATGTAATTTGAATATGCAGCTCTTAACTGGACAACAAATCTGCATTTTACGGGGCTTTTCTCCTGAAAACGTTTATGACCTCTGATGATATTTTCCGGCTAGGCTGGAGTGCCATGATTTGATGGTGTTTGAATTCATTCTTTGTTATTCTGTTCCTGGTTTTTGGTACTCCTGTAGTTGGTCTTTGTTTCTATTTTCCTTCGGGTGTTCTCTTATAAAATCTGTCCTGATACGTAATTTAGGAGCATCTAGTCTCGTCTCAATTCTATGCCGAGGATAAAAACTCATCTCAGCCTCACAGATTCAGGGAATCATAATTCACAGCTCGCAAGGCTCTCCTTATATCCATTTTCATTGTGAATACAATAAAACCATAATTTCAAAAGGTTGCATTTGCAAAAAATGTCACGGAGGAGGCCCTATAGTATATACAGTTATAATAACGGCACCAGTTCCCTCCCTCCCACTTCCTCCTCCTCTCTCTTTGATAAAGTCATGCTCTCTCTCTCTCTCTCTCTCTCTCTCTCTCTCTCCTCTCTCTCTGTGAAACCAAAATGGCGACCCAATGCCTGGCGATTCTACTGCTATTATTGGTTCCCTCGATACTCTCACAATCTGTGGAATTCAACAACTTCTTGAAAACAGGTACGGGCAGAATCAAATCTCATCCCTTTTCCTTTTTCTGTAATATATATACTGTTTTCTTCTTACTCCATGCTATTCACTTCCGAGATTTTGACTACCCATGCGGGGGGAAGAAAATAAAATTGTTTTGCTTTCTCTGGAGTTGGTCGGATTTTGGAATCAAGTTTGTAAATTTGTATGCTAGCGTAACTGGGATGAGGTTGTGATGTTCCCTTATTAGTCATTATAAGTAGAGCAGGTATCTGGGTATTTATTACACACGATCCCGTTCATGGCTTAAGCAGATAGGTCAAATTTTATTGCTATAGCTATAAGTATTACCAAATTTATAATTACGATAGATGTCTCCTATATACATCCAGCCAAAAAAAAAAAAAAAAACCCAGCTTCTCTGTATTGATTGGTCGGCTATATGATCATGACATCAAGTGTTGCGAGTTCCAATAGTAAATAGGTTTATAAGTCATCAACCTTTCGAAGTTATTGAGCTCCAAGAGATGATCATTTTTTACACTCCGTTTGTTTTCTTCTCAAGATTTCCACCATTTACAGACTTTTTAAAAAAAAATTGTTTTTTTTATTTCAGCCGAGGTGACTGCTTCAAAGGGTGCACTTGAGCTTGCAAATCCTCTCATTGGACATAGCGGAAAGGTTTATGCATGCTCTGGAAAGAGTCTTCTTGTTTTTGAAAGGAATGGCACGGTTGCATGGATTATTCCTCTCAATTATATGTGCAATGTTCACATCACCCCTGTCGATGATGAAAGAGGGAAGGTAACTTCGACGATGATGTTTTAGAACGATTTGATTGTTCGTTAGGTACTTATTAACTCTAAAGGATTTTTTCACCTTGAGGCAGATTAACATGACATTTAATTGTTGGTAGATACCTATTGAAGGTCAGAGAAGTAAAGTGACTTTAATATTCTAAAAATGATATTCTTTTTATCTTGAGCTTGGACACCGTAGCATGTCTTTTTTTTTGGGTGCTATTAAAAAAGAAATCCCAGCTCCCCCAATATAGTGGAGAAATGCCTCTGATGATGTTGCTTGTAAGTCTTGAATTTGCGACCTCCTTATCACAAATTTTGTGATCAACTCTTCTTAAGTTCTTTCTCTTTGTCAGCTACCATGGTAATCGTTAGAAGTTTTATCTTTATTAACTTGGAAATCACAGTGTGCCCTCAATGAAAGATTCAACATTATGAAATGATGATGAACTTTATTATAAGCACGACATCACAACCCCTAAAATTGGCAGCCCCGTATCAGATGTTGCTAAGGAGGTGTATGATTAACTCAAGAATTAAGAGTAACTTTATTTTTGGAGAAACCATGAAACAAGAAGCGTCATACAAAAGCCTGCTTGGGGTGAATGTAGTAGTAGAACGAGTGATCTGATGAGTCCTTGAGCAGAGAATTACAAATTTGGATTTCTGTCGCGTACTGGCTATAGCATGTCCGCTTTCAGTAATACTCGCTCTAATTTCTCTCCACGCTCCAGCTTACCTCTAGATATTATAGGCTACACTTTGTCTTCCCCGTGACTTTGCTATGGTATAACTAGGTACTATCTTTCAATTGAAACAAAAACAACAGACAAAGCATTTATTCTAAATATTGGTTAGCTAGTTCTTTTCTCCATTCTGGTTTAATTAAGACATTCTCTTCTTTTTGGTACATCATATCCATTCTTCCTGCTGAAAGGGTTCTGGTTTATATTTATGAAATTTTATATGCTACCCACTAAGAAGTATGATAAAGTAATATTTGCAGTTTTACTTACAATTTATCTGCATGTAGTTATTTGATTATATATGGTACCTCACCAGTAAGATTTAAAAAAAAAAAACTTTTTATCTTGTCAGATTTATTTGGTTGCAGAAGACAGGGTTTTGAAAGTCACACCTTCAAATATTGCGACATCTGAATCTGAGGTTGATATATTATTTGGTCCAAACTCAACTATTGGGGGCTCAGGGGAAATTATTGGCTTCGCCATTAGTATCTCGTACTCATCTCTATTTGTCACTATTAAAAACCGTGGCCTCTTTGCAATATTGCTTCGTGGTGAACTTCTTTGGAGCGCTGGTCCTTTGCTTTATCGTTTTGGCTACCGTCAGGGTTGCAAGAAGAACTTAGAAGATTGTTATTTTACTTCAGCTCCTGTAGTTGATCAGTGTGAGGGAACCCTTTATGTAAGGTCCTTTTATATTATTTCTATGTTTGCCTTGTTCTTTTTTTTTAAAAAATTTTCTTGTCAAACCGGTTCATAGTTCATGGTTCTCATTCTATAGAATGCTCATATGCCCTCCGGACAAACTACTTTGAAGAATGAAATCTGTCTTATGAAAAATGGTACATTAGAAAGATAATAAGTCTATCTGAGAGGATATGAATACATGTTGATTTCATATGATAAGACTTATCTTTATGGTTAGCCAATTGCTCATTTTGTATGTATATCTTGCTAGAATACGAGTAGGAAATGTTATTAAACTAGTAATATGTAATCCGAGTATTGACGAGAACAAAATGGGATTGCATGCAGGTCTCAAATACTGAAGGACAGGTCTATTCATTGTATATTCGCAGCCCTCACTTCAGATGGATCCAGGATTTTAGTTCATTTGACAAGTCAATGACACTTGTATCAGGAAATAACGGCCTTATGTACGTCATTTTTCCAAGGAGGGCCTCAGTGATGGCATTAGAAGTTTCTACTGGCAATGTTGTTTGGCAAAATGACGTTGGTCCCTTAAGTACTGACCAAAGCTTGCCTGTTGTGGATAGCAATGGTAATTAACAATTTAGATTTCTGTTTTTATTTCATTATCACAAGAACAACGATTACAGTGGACTTGTCTCATACTCTTGAAGAACAGTAAACTTTTTCTTCTAAAAGACTGTAGGCTCACGATAACTTCATATGCGGCTCTGGTTTATTGGGTAACTAATTTCTGAAAAGTTAGGTATTGTTTGTTGAGATTGTTTGCAGGATGCTTTTCTATTCCTATTGAAGTTAATTTGCTTCGAGATCCATCAAAAAAATTTACAAATTTAATGAATTCATAAGTACTATATGAAATAATTGAGAACTTATTACAACTCATGTGCTAACTATATGAATTTAACAATGATGTTTTTTTCCCTTCTAATCCTCTGCATTTTGTTATTTTACGTGAGAACTGGAATCTAATGATCATAAACATCATGAATATATCTCGAAAATAATGGGTATGAGGTGACGGCTCATAACCATCAAACATATACATCTTTTATATATATGTATCTTCTCAAAAAGCATATGCATTCCTTTATTTTAAGTATTTGATTTCTTTTCTGAACTAAATGTAGATGAAGTGACAAACTGCTTCTTAGTTTTGTGGTTATGGCTTTGGTAATTTCCTTTCTTTCTTTTGAGTTTTGCCCTTGGTAAAATTTTCTAATTTGTGTACAAGGTTGGATATCCATTGGCTCATTAGACGGGTTCTTGTACTCATTCTCACCAACTGGAGATATGAAGAAATTACTCGAGTCAAGTGCCTATGATTCTGCAATCCAAGTCAGCCCGGTCCTGGATTGCTCAGGATTTGGGGTGTATGTATCTCAAACCCTTATGGATTCCAAGACAAGTCAAACTATTGATAATTATACTTACATATCCGCCATGAAACCAATAGACATTGTGTTCACACTCTTGGCTCCAGCAACTGGAACTGTTTATTGGACCGGAAAGTTCTCTGGTAAGGTCATTACATGAAGAAAGCGGTTATCTTCTCCCTCGCTTAAATCCTAGTTATGAAGAACTTTGTTAATTCCTCAAATATTAATGCATTTATCAGGTGAATTATCATCTCAGGTGTCCAAGAGCGATCTTCGCCACTTTGAGTTGAATGACAGGATTCTTCTCACGTTTTTTTCTTCAGCAAGTGAGTTTCTTCACACTGAATCATTTTGTCCTCGTAGTTGTCCTTCGTAAAGCTAAGTCCAATGTTGTGAATAAATGAAAGTACTAGACTAGTTCATATTTAAACCCAATTTAGAAACTAAGCATGTACAATTGGATACGCTGAAGAACATTCTTGAGTAATAATGTTGCAGCTTAAGATATTTATACGTTGAAACTGAACTTATGTCTGACCTTTTTCTTTTTATGGATGCAGGGATTGGCAATACTCTTCAATGCTATTCCACTCGTAAAATCCATGACTAATTAGAAGTAGTACTTTGATTTTTTGGTACTTTCATCTTTGATAATTTTACTTCAACAGGTCAAAAGATCTCTTGGACCTGCTCACAAGTGAAACCTAAGCCTTTTGATATCTACACAGGTGATCTCCACCCTATTTGTTTTCTATTTAGCGATGTGCCTCCTTTTAAGTAGTGAGCTTCATTATGCTAATAAATTCTTTCTATTAGGAAATGAGAAGGCAATTCTACTACTGGTATTCTTCCAACTTGTGATTGTAGTATTGCTAGCTTTTTCTGTTCGGTTTTGCTGTATATTTTGGAGGAAAAAGAAGCTTCAAGACCATGGGCTTTTGAGATTCCTTGAGAAGAGGGTAAGATATCAAGATATTCCGCTTGTTTGTACCCAAAAAAAATGATAAGAACTAAATTTATCGAATTAAAGCCATAAAAAAATTGAAGCCAAATTTCTTACTTATAGTTAAATTTACTTCTATTATAAGCATCTGGATTCAAATTGAAGCCATAACAAAACATTGCACATTTATCGAAGTAACACGGAAATTAACCAAAAATTGTTGCAGAAAAATTGTGTAAGTAGTTAATTTCAGCATGATGCTTCATTTCTGGCTATATGTTGTCTCATATTGGAACAATCCTGAATTCATACCATTCAACATCTGCTTAAATTCATTTATCAAAGGCGCACAATGGTAGTGTATGCTAACATCAAGAATTATGATTCATATCAATCAGATAATATTCTTTTTGTCGTGTCCATTTCAGAGGTTTCTTCACTACAAGAAGAGAACATTGAGCAGAATGATCTCAAAGCTCGAACGAAGGACAACAGAAGACTCCACAGCTAACGAAGCATTAACACGAATGAGTGAGATAGTAAAAACGAAGGAAGGAGTAGAGAGAAAACTATCAACTTGTTACAGTCTAGGCAGTGATCGTGTCATCTCTCAGCGTGGATCTCTTTTGCCCGTTTATGATGGAAAGGGCAAAAGTCATTCATTCCATAGTTCGAGAAAAGAGAGTGTAATGGTGTTTAACGCAATTAGTGACAGTTCGAGTTCTGAACGGAGTAATAGTAGTTATAGTAGTGATGATGAGAGTAGAAGTGAAGATATGGGGTCGAAATTGAAAGGCAAAGAGATTGTTGAAGAAGGTCCCTCAGAGTTTGAGTCGAGTTCGAGGATGTTTATGAATTCGATGTCTATTGAATGTGAGACCAAAGGAATGGAAGGGAAGAGGAGGATGTGGTTGAAGAGGAGGACATTTTCTTCAACTAACTAGAATGGGAAATCTAACTGCCACTTATATGTACATTATGTTTCTTTGCCAAAAGTACCCTCCAGTGCTTGCATTGTCTTTTTTATTGAATGATGAAGTTTTAAAAAAGAGTACCCTTGATTCAAATTTTACAGTTTGAGGGTATAATTGTTAGCTCTAATTTTCGTATCCATAAATTGCTCAGCAAGCAGCACATCCAAGGATTTGAGCATGCATTACTTATTTAATTAGTTAAATTTGTGTCTGAAATCTTGCAGGGTTCTGCTAAACTGTTTTCTTTGTTTCGACGCCATGAATCATGTTCAACTGGTTGTGCTCTTTCAATCAACAAATATGTCGAAGTCTTCCTCCGTTCATTGTATCTCCAGAGGTGCATTCTCCAAATCTTTGGATTGGCGAAGCTGTGCGCTGAATGATATATGTTAGCAAATATCAAGTGATGGATGCAAGAAAATTTTATACTCCTTATTGAATATTCCATTCTATCCATCTATCCACCTACGCAGGTAGTAAGACTTGGTAAGTTTGAAATTCATGCCTCATTGTCTTGTGGGATGCTCTACTTTAATTCTAATAACATTATGCTGGATCGCCTCCAGGATACCATCATGCATGACTATGTATAAGTATGGAATTGATTATTAAAACCACCTATTAAAATAGGGTTATTCTATGGAAATCACGTTTGATTATCAATTTATATGTAAACCATCTTTAAAGGGCTTTTGTTGCAACCAATCATCTGAGTCCATTTTTTAGTTAATTTTTTCTAGTAATTGACCTCACCTGACCTTCATTAAGGATCATCTCTCCAGTTACTTCGTATTTGACAACTAATCATTACAGCGAAACTGATAAAACTAGACTTATAAAAGTGAGTCTATAGGTGGTGAATTGAAACAAAAAGCATTTAAATGTGCTTATGTACAAATTGACAATCAAAGTTGGCTTTTGTAAAATAGCCATGTTTTAAAGGTGATTTCTAGAAGGGGCATAAACAATAGGTATATATTTTCTTCTTTTGGGAGCTGTAAAAAAAATTTAAGAAATAGATTTTAATTATTTGAATTCATTGAGCTGAGATTTGGTATTCTCAAGGTCTATCCTGACATCACCTCATTAATTTTGATATTTCAGTTGTCATTTCACTTCAAGTTTTTATGTCCTTCTCCTGTTCTTCAATTGGAACAGTTTGATGCGGTATCCCTACAACAAAGCTTGTCGTCGAGAACAGGGACTTATACAGTTTCGTGCTGTTTAGTTCAAGCCAACTACTGCGACTAATGAACTTGAGTTCGTATTTATTATCGCGGTTGGAGTCAATTTTAAGCTAATATGAACAGTTGCAACCATGCACAATCAACTCTCACTTTTCAAGGCTTTCAACTGGATGAATTTTTTTTTTCTTTTCCGTAAAATTGAGTTAAACTAGGCTACTATAGATAACACTAGTGTGCAGCCCGTGTGCAGTACGGTGTTTTTTTTTTTTTTTTTTTCTACAGTGTTCCCGCCGTTTTTAAACTCTCCCGGTTTGAATTTTCTGGGGTGCTACAGTAACTCGCCTGCTACAGTGCCATTCCCGAGCTGCTACAGCAACCAATCTGCTACACCATCTTTTAAATACCTCAGCTGCTACAGTAACACTGCTACAGTAAATCTACTGTAGCATTTACTGTAGCATGAACAGTGACTCTTTGTTTCTCCCATTTGTATAAAAGAATAGATATAATATACAAACATTACCGAGTTAATTTTTTAAATTCAAAATCCAATAATAAAAAATCAAATTGGTAAATGTGATCCACTATATATGAATCATCAAGGAAAAAAAATTTCAAAAGATTTCAACATCATTAATTATTACGTCTCTTTGTATAAAATATGTTATCAAAACTAACATTTTCGAATTTTCACGAAGTCTACTACTTTTTCAAAAATGATCCGTGACCATATTCTCAGTTGTAAAACGCTCGCAGTTTAAAGAAACATTTATAGTACAACTGATCTTTACTAATCACAACTAGAGAGACGCTACAGTCACATTCTAAACCATACTCCTAACCACACTCCCCTCTCGCTACAGTGTACTAGGGCCCACACGAGAATTTAAAAAAAATTCTCGTGTGGGCCCCAGTGCACTGTAACGAAAAAGGAGCGTGGTTGGAAGTGTGGTTTAAGGACGTGTCTCTAGCATTTCCTTTACAACTATTATCGGCCGCTAGAACATTCTTAGCTTGTTTATTTAAGAATTCGAATGCGGTGGCGATGTCAACTACATTATACCTCACCGTATCACCGACAAATTTTCTCTAGTCAACCATCCCCAAACTATTGTAACAGGAACACCACAAATCTAAGCCACATGTTGCTATATTAAGGTCTCTCTAGTCCAGCAAATTAGGTCACCAATGCTACCATTGATCACTGCGTAGCAAGACTCAAATGCCTATAACTATTCTTAAATATCGTTCGGATATCTTCTTTTTCCAACTTCGTATCGCCAACAAATTATGGGTTATTTTGCCGTTAGTCCTTCACGTCTTTCATTTTTTGATACTAGTCCTCCAATTCATTAAAATTGCAGCGAGGTCCTTCAATTGAAGGAGTTGTTTGAAGTTGGTCCCTTTAGTTGGTCTTCTGTTTGACCTGGGGGAATATTCCTTCAGCTTTAACCTTTTCAAAACACTTTCCAAGCTAATCCAACCCTGATTTGAAGCTGAGGCAGAAGGATTTTGGCTTTAAGTTTTTGGAGGGATAAAAAGAGAAACGCATTTAGTTTTTCTCATGAGATGAAGCGAGACCTAGAAAGAGCAAAAAACTGATGATTTTGGTGGGAGCTATTTAGCAGCACTTAAGTAACTTAGGGCCCGTTTGGTTCATTAGGTGAAAGTTACTGTAGTCAGGAAACCAGGTTGAAAACTGACAGTGACGGCTACAGTAACTTTCGCCCAAAAACACCATATTTTGAGGAGATATGGTCATATTGGATTTTTAACTGCCACATTAGCATTTTTTTTTTGCACAACCAAACAATGTAAACAAGTGAAAGTTACTGTAACCTGACAGCTACAATAACTTTCAAACAAAAACAACCCAACCAAACAGCCCCTTATTGTTTCTGCACATTTGCAATGGAATATAATAAATTATAAAAAGCACCACTTTAATATTCTAAATTGCAAAAAAATATGAACACTCTAACATCTTAAATCGTAAAAAAAAAATAGGGAAAAATGCTTCCAGCCCCCAAAACACAAGAAAAACGCTTCCCACCCCCAAGACTTTTTCAACGCCCTCAAAACCCCCAAATTCGTAATAACTATGCACTGAGCCCCCAAAACACAAAGCCCAAGAATTTTACACAGCTAAAGACTATAATACCCTTTATCTCTCTTATGGGCATTGATTACCTCCTCCCCCCTCCAGTGCTTCTCCCTGATGTCCATATCCCCGACCGTCGTCGTCCCCTGCGGCGTCCGCGAGCTCAAGTCCGACGAGCGCGGGCTCTACCTCATCCACCTCCTCCCTCCTCACCGCGCCAACCACATCGCCGCCGGCTCCCTCGACCACGCCAACGGCTGCCTCGGCGAGATCGCTGACGGCGAGGTCGCGGAGCTCGCCGGAGATCTCGTTGGAGGCGAGAGAAAGGACCCTGAGCTCGGCGGAGGAGGGGAGAGAGGAGAGGAGGGAGTCGTTGAGGAGGTTGGCGGAGAGGTCGAGGTGACAAAGGTAAAGTGGGAGGAAGAGGTCGGAGGGGAGGGAGCCGAGGAGGCGGGTGCCAGGCAAATGAATTCTTTATCGGAAGAACTACCACAGCTAGCAAAATAGCATGAAGAAGAAGGAGAAGAAGTCCTAGAAGCTAGCGGTAGCAGAGGGGGTCCTCTCCCAACGCATCCGTCGACCTCTTTAGGGGCAAGAGGATTTCCGAGCTGGGAAGCTCGACGGATTCGCGAGGGGAGCTGATCAAGGAGAAACACCACCGGGAATCGGAGCCGGTCCCGACAATTCTGATCAAGCGAGCAGCGACGCCCAAATCATCGTGGGCTACCATCTCGACAGTGTTCACCAGCTCTTCTTCTTTGACGTCAGCAACGTGGCCTTGATTGATTATGCATGCTAGCTATTTGATTAATTATAAATCTTGTAATATATATTCTGCTGGTGCTCTATATTGCTAGCTAGTTGGTTAACTAATCTCTTGGATCGTTATTATATTATAATGCCCACGTCCATAGAGATTGAGAGACTAGTAACCATAGGTTGCATTCAGTGATAGTGTACGTTGCATTAACTTATATCGCATGCAATATATCCAGTTGCAGCTCTTTAATTAAGTGGTTGTTAAGGTTATACGCGTTGGTTGTTAAGCTTACGAGTTTTTTCTTATGGTTACGTGTTGATTGTTAAGGTTAGGATTTAGTTGTTAAGGTTAAGTATTGGTTGTTAAGGTTATACACGTTGGTTGTTAAGGTTACGGGTTGCTTGTTAAGATTACGCGTTGGTCGTTAATGTTATGGGTTGCTTGTTAAGGTTACGCGTTGATTGTTAATGTTACGAGTTGGTTGTTAAGGTTACAGTTAACCTTAATAACCAACCCGTAACCTTAACAATCAACACGTAACTTTAATAAGCAACCTGTAACCTTAACAACCAACGCGTATAACCTTAACAACCACTTAATTAAAGAGCTGCAACTGGATATATTGCATGCGATATAAGTTAATGCAACGTACACTATCACTGAATGCAACCTACAGTTACTAGTCTCTCAATCTTTATGGACACGGGCATTATAATATAATAACAATCCAAGAGATTAGTTAACCAACTAGCTAGCAATATAGAACACCAGCAGAATATATATTACAAGATTTATAATTAATCAAACAGCTAGCATGCATAATCAATCAAGGCCACGTTGCTAACGTCAAAGAAGAAGAGCTGGTGAACGCTATTGAGATGGTAGCCGACGATGATCTGGGCGTCGCTGCTCCCTTGATCAGAACCGTCGGGACCGGCTCCGATTCCCGACAGTGTTTCTCCTTGATCAGCTCCCCTCGTGAATCCGTCGAGCTTCTCGGCGTTGCTCAGCTCGGAAATCCT